TAGGCTCTTTACGTCATGTGGGCTTGGGTATTCCCTTAGCGCGCGCAACGTATCTTCGTTTGGGGCGGAGCATGTCGATATCCACAACACGGTGCGGTCAACTGAATTTTTTCTGAATGAAGCGTGAGGCCAACCATACTCATTTGCTAAAATGAGTATGGTTGGCCTCAACCATAGCTCAAAAACCATATCCTCAATGTACGTAAGGCAAATTCGTACTTCGCGTTCAGGAGTACAACAGCCATCATTCGCTGAAAACTTGCTGGCGAGTTAGACAAACCAAATGGCAGTGGGGTGAACTTACCACGCTCTGTGGCAGATGAAATCCGTTGTCTGAACGTCTGATGGGTAAATCTTGATGTCACGAAACCCGATTGCTGCAGTCGGAACAGTAACACCAGGAGCGACGTGACCAGCTGTTCGAGGTGGGAGACTTTGCGAACCGGCGTACTCACCCACTCTGTGACGGCGTTCGAGGATTCGCAGCGTTTCTCGCCAACAAGTAAACAGGTGGGAAGATCCGTTTCGCATGTATGAAAAGTTCTCACCGTTCACTTGCAAACTAGTTCACTGTGAGGCTAGTGAAGAAACCGGACCTGCACATGTCACCGAAATTGTTTTTCAAACAGAAGATGAAGATTTCTTGCAGGACCGGAAAGAGGTTGATGGTAGTCCCGTTTCGGAAACCCCTTTGTGTCTACCACGGCGGCTGCATGTTACTCCGCTCAGCATGAATGGCTTCCCCGACTTGGCAGGCGCAACTGGCTAGCTCTTCAAGGGTCTCAATTATGTGCGGTTGATAAAGCAGACGTTGTATCTTGGATGGCACTCTCTTTTGACCCGAGGTACTCTGCTTGACTCCGAGTGCTGCGTCCATTGTCTCGAGCTTTCGGAGAGTTTGCATTTCGTAGCCCGCTGGCAGGAACTCTTCGTAGCTTCGTGTGGAAGTACGTCATCCTGGTGGAGGGGACCTGCTACCCCAACCAGCACCTGGGACTCGCTTTTACACGAAGCGGCAGGATGTGGTCCACGATCAAGGCTTCCGAAACACCGGAGACATGGTGGCACGTCTGCATCTCGCCCAGGAATTCTGCCACTATCTGGGCCGCTGCGGTTTATGGGAGCACGCCTTAGCGAAAACTAGTACGTTTGAAATATGTCCAAAAGTATCTTAATGTATTTTAAAGGTATTTTTATAATTCCCAGTACATCAAAGTACACTAAAAATACATTATGTAGTTAATCACTCACTATTCAAATGTATTTCCAGAAAAACAAAAAACAATACGTGTATTAAAATTATTACATAATAACGTACACCTGAAATACGTTTAAAGGCATAACTACTTTGATGGCATTAACGAAATGCATTTCAAATGCCTTTTTGTTAATATGAAATAGATTCGCTCAGTAATAAAATATATATTTTCTCAGGTGGCTAAAAAGACAAATAATACACGAGGTGTGCTTCGGCAAAATCTGACTTCTAAATTCAGGGCAAATTTTCAGCAACATTTTTTTTATGTACCAATTTTATTCTCAGTCCCCGACTTTTGAGAAAAACTCCACACTTTCTCTTTTGCTGTTGGCAACGCTGTAGTAGTAGGCCTACTCATTACGGATTTGGAGGGGGCACCGGGGGGGGGGGGGGGGGGAGGGGTTCCACACATGGATGAACAAATGGACAGGGAATAAATAGCGGTAACTGAGAGGAGATTGGAAGATTGCCGGAAAAGATCAAGGGAGGGGTGAAGACGCAGATAAAAATAACCAAAGGTAACACTTTAAAGGGTGAGGGGCTTGTGCTAAAACAAAATTTCTACAAATGAACACAAAAAAGATGATTAAATGTTAGGCTAGGTGGCACAAGCTGCCGCCCGTTACAAATGGTATAGCCCTTACCATTCAATTATCCGTTTATGGTTTCTGGTGTCTATCATCGACTCCATGAGTTTCTATATTTTTAGCCGGAAAACGTCTGAATCCTCACCGAAAGGCTCCTGGGAGTCCTCACAGATGTTCGAGTAAGTCGCACGGTACGTTCCCCGCCCGTTTGCGTGCTTTTCAAGCGCCCAAGAGACGATTCTCATCATGATGCGGCTGTGAAATCGGGCGGCAGAGAAAAGCTCATCGGAGAAAAGCTCACCGGAGGAAAGCTCACCGGAGATAAGCTCACCGGAGAAAAGCTCACCGCGAAACCGGCAGATGCGGATGACAGCTCACCGGCCTTTGAACGGATGCGGAAAAAAGCTCATCTATTTTTTATTTTTTTTAACTTAGCGGATTCTGCGTCAAACATGGTAATTTAACATAAATCGCATTCGTCACTTCATTAAAAATATATCCTCTTTTTTGTGATATTCTTGAAGTTCATTGGGCATATTTACTAAATCCTCACAAATTAGTAATCACCCATTTTGTATATTATTAAGCCGCAAGTAATAAAATCAGGACATCCTACACCGATAAAAAAGAATTTATTGACGCTGACCAGTGCGCCGTCGGTAGCTCTGTCAAACAAAGAAGTTTGTTCTTAGCGAGCTAACATGAATAGCGGTGTGGGGAATCGTTTCAGCTCCAAATATTGCGTAGTGCCTAATAGATAACTAGGTGTTGATGTAATGAGTGTCGGTTACGCTATTTTCTTTCTGTTAACTTCACTAACGAAATTTCTGTTGCGAGAACAGCTTCGTCCGGTCGCGTTTGTTGTCTTCACGCCGTCGTCGTCGTGTGAGTGGTTTTCATAATGTATAACGTTTATATACTCGCCCTATTCGCTACCTTACAGAAAACTACTTCTTACAAAGGTCACGAGTAACAACGGTGACAGCGTGCACCTCTGAAGGTCATGGGTGACTTGCCGTAGAAGGGCACTATCACACAAAGGCAACGTGTGGGAACACCAGCACGAACGGCTAGAAAACGTGCATGTTCGTGTAAGAAAGAAGCCTCGATATCGCACTGACTGTTTTATCCTGTTTTCAAAATTTAACAAAAGCTTCAAAGAGAATTTCAGGCACCGCGTTATTGCGCATGCACTTTCGGATTTTCGGCATTTACAGTTTGGTTTTTAGGTTTTAGGCAGACATTATTAAGTTTTTGAACTTTTTCCTGTTCTTCAAGTTCATAAAGTTTTCAGTTAGGCTTTCGTTGCCTAGAGAGTAAGCCACAGAAAACACTCGCCCGCAATCATTAATTTGGGAGCAATATACACAATAAGCTTGACAAATAACACAAAAAATAACATTTTCTTTTTCACAGAGCTGAGGAATTTTAATGATAATAAATTGATATATGTTAGGCATGATTCAACAGCCTCTAATAAAAAAAAGAAAAAAAAAATCAGTGAGCTTTTCCCCGCATTCGCTTAATGGCCCGTGAGCTTTTCTCCGCATCCGCCGGTTTTGCGGTGAGCTTTCCTCCGGGAATCGTGAAATCAACATGGCGCCCATCTTCCCGCCCGCCTGGGTAACCTTAGCGGCACCTCTCGTGTAACTTTGCGGTGCCCTCTGAAGGTCAGCAGGGGTGTCGGACGCCTTGGCGGATCCGCGGGCATTCGCTGGATGACAGTATGACGACCAGTCAATGTCAAGGCGAAAAACTTAGTGCGGAGACCGATCCCCTTTGTTTGCAGCCATTGCCAGTGCCGAACGCTAAATCCGCCTCCATCGGCCTAAGTTTTAGGTATCGGACGCCGACCGAAATGGACGGACGACTTCTCACCATCGACAGCACACGGCAAACGTTATTTATTAATTTTTTTTTTTTTTTTTTTTGAAAAGCGTTTTTAGTAATCAAGTTGCTTACATGTGCGTCCAGGCTGCGTTCGGATCCCAGAAGTCGAGCTTAGGAGGAAACTATTTATCCTCTAACTTTAAGCACATCAGTCCTCTGTTTCCTCTGTTGTTTTTTTTTTCTTTGTTGCACGTGTGAGTATTGTTTGTAGCAAGTGCTTGTCTTATGTTGAGCGTAAAAGTGCATTCTGTGGCGAAATGAAAATATAAAGCTTTGTATAAGCTTTGTATAAAAATAAAAACGCCAGAAGACTGTGGGGATAGAGTTTACCATTGTATCGGTAGTACAGAATAAACAAGTTTTAATTGCAATGTGTGTGAAGTGCTCAAGGCGATTTACAGCTCTCTTTTGTGTGACTAGCATCCTGGGAGGGGTTTCTGGGTTACTTTCAATGAGTGAGCACTATTTTGTGCACTTGCTGTACTAGACGTTTTGAGGTCGGAGAGGGATACTGAATAGGATTATTTAGGAAATATACAGAATGTATTAATAATACAGCGCTATAATGCATTTTAATGTAAGTGAGAAATTAAATTTAAATATCTTCTTGAACGCACCACAACTGCACTTTTAATGCACTTAGAAATACATTTTAATTCGCCTAGAATATATTTTAACCATACTTTAATTGCACCTGGTAATGTATTCGAATGTATTTATAAAATGCATTTTAAATGCGAACGAGAAAATACGAAAAAATGCGCGTACGTATAACACCGCAGACACGATAGTACACTTAAAACATATTTAAAATATAGTATTTTCTCGGTAAGGGTGTGTCCGCACTTTACGTTTACTACGTCGCTTTATGGCTCGCCCACGAGTTCGTTGAAGATGATTTCACAGCGTTAGAACACTGCCGAAGCTGCACTAGCTTTCACAGTATAGCAAAAGATAGTCGAAGCACACTGGAACGGCCCGTATGACTGGCTGGCGTCGCTGGCAGTAACGCGTTCGCGGGTTTATTATTCCATAAGTCTTAAAACTTGATATCGCTTCAAAATACTAGAACCAACATGTTTTTCGTATGTACAGTTTTGCTTTATTTCCGTCAACATGGGGGTCAATACAGGTGCTTCCCGAGGCAATAGGTTCTTTTTACAGAGGGAACTCAGTTCAGGTTTTCGGGCTGGTGGTTCGCCAGCGCTGCCCGGATGAAGATGAATGGTCTCGCTGCTCATATGTCAAGCTCGTACAAGTCGCGTTCAGCCCTTGAGACCCAGTCCGTAGCCCCCGAGCCCTCCCCCGCCGAAGCCTCCCCCGCCGAAGCCTCCCCCGCCGAAGCCTCCGAGATGCGCGCCCACCAGATTTCCTCCCCGGCTCAATCCGCTCACGTGGTGAACCGATTTGACGAGGAACGATGGCCCGGGGAGGGACCTGGCATAGCCGTGGCCACCGCCGTAACCTCCACCGAAGCCGCCTCCGAAGCCGCCGCCGTAGCCACCCTTGAAGCCGCCGGCCAGGCAGACGGCGGCCAGGCCGGACACGAAGAGAGCAACGAGCTGCACGGAATCGTCGTTGTTGCTGTACATACGCCTTTCATTTATGGGATAACTCGAGCTTAGCCGTTTAACTGCAATATTCGGGTGGATACTGTGACTGGGGAAATAAATTGGAGAAAATAATTACGACGCTGCAAATTGTTTAATTTTCTTGTTCTTTTCTTATTTGTTGTTTAGCTTGTGTTTTGGTTTTTTAACAGCTTATAAATAGAGACGAGATGAGATATAAAGGAATATTCTATATACCAACTGAGATAAGCAAAAATGAGCAGCCTGGCTCCAGCGTCCTAAATTAAACTCCTCCCCCCGCCCCTTTTTTTCGCTAGGCGCTACCGAAAAGGTAACAAAATACGTCACTTGTTACTTTAAAATAAAAGGAACGCGTCACCGCTTCTTTTTGTTACGAATAACATTATGCATGCATACCAGTAAAGTATTATGCCTACCTGTAAAGTCTTTGACTTTACAGGCATGCATAAACGCCATATCAAGAGACTTTATGTCCGTCCAGGAAGTGATCATAATTACCTTATCTTTTTTACGGTTCTACTTTCTTAATTACAGACAAAAAACGTTAAAAAAAGCCCTCAAAAGCTCAGAAATATGTATGGCCTGGCGCCTTGAAACACGGAACAAATTGATGTAAATATGTTTAAGTGTTCGGGAGAATATGCGACGAGTAACGTAACTAAGTTAAAGGTTACTCGAAATAAGTAACGTAGGTACGTTACACGTTACACGTTACCAAAAACCCAACGTGGTGCCGGTAACGCCGCTACTTGTAGCCGGTTACCGCGGAAATTGAGCAAACGTAGCCAGTGGGGTGAACAGCGCAGGGGTAGGGGCTGACATTTGTTTTCTTCGTGTCCACACAACTGTCCCCCATCCAAACTCCCCACCGCCACTTTCCGTCGCCCTTTAACATCTCAAGAGACTTCCGACGCCTCCTGTCCTTAGCATTTTAAGGATAAAAACCTTGCAGTGAAGCAAATTTTCAAAATTACCCTTTTGCCAATGTGGGTGCATATATTCCTGTTTGAGCGTTTTTACATATAATACCACAACAAATTGGGAACTGTGGTCATGCCACGCAGAAAGTTAACAATAATGAAAACAATAAAAATATGAAATAAGTGAAAACATATCCTTTTTTTTAATACATCGGGTTCGAGTTATGGCTAAGTTCATTTGTTGACGACATTTACAAATATATGTAATTATTCCGTGAAAATCAATACAGCTAACAATGTAGGTAGCAGTCGACAGCACAGGTATCCGGCCTACAGGTTCGTAGTATTTGATAAGCTAAACATATAATGAGTCCAACATACGAGGCTCTGAATATGTCACCGAAACGAAGATTCGATATTTGGCATTTTCTCGTATATAAATAATGCCAAAGCACTTTAACGGGAAACGAAATAACACATGCGTAGTACATTCGAAACTAAAATTACTGCGAGTGTATTTGTTTTCGCCTTTTTTAGCTACCGATAGAATTCGGTACAATAGTCAAGCATCCTAGATATAGCATTTCAACTTGCTCCTCTCGAAATATTTTGTGAACAAATATAATCTTAAAAAATAGTAAAAGGTGGTTTTGTATGTTGAGGAAATGGGTCTATAATATATCACTTGTCACTCCGACACGCGTGTTTTTCTTGTTTTCATCTGAAAGCAACCTAGACGAACATGGACATTAAAGGGGCGGTGCAACGATTTTATAATTAAAAGAATTTGCATCTCGTCATTTTTACGTTGCTTATCGTGTCCCGGAGGATAAAGAAACATCTCGTTCATTAAAAAATGTCACGACTAAGGTGCATAATCGCAAACCAAAAGTCAAGCTTTTCCCCCCACCTGCAGTCCCAAGTGGCCGCCGAAGGAACTACGGCTTGAAGATTACGTGACCTCTCTCGGCTCTAAGCTGCAGCATAACGCCCGCTAATGTTAGCAGAGAGAGGAAGCGCCCTCCGAGAGAGCACACGGGAAGCTACACGGCACTCCGAATGACGTCACTAGGAGGGGGACCAGGTGTGACTCTGAAGACTGGGAGTGAGTTGAGGGTGCCCGAAATGCCAATATTTATCTTTTTTTTTTTACGCAGCAACTAGGACGCGCAGACGAAATCGCTTTTCTGTTCTTCAGAAGTGTCAGAGTTCCGCAAATCTTTGACCGAAGCCCGGAAATCGTTGCACCGCCCCTTTAAGCGACGAGACTTACCACAGTCCTCATGTTTCCAGTGTAGTGCAGTTGGCAGCTGGAAGAGCGAATGCGTGGTTGCAGCCGTGTCCCGCGCTGCTTTTATATCCGAACGAGTCCGTCCGCACGGCTCGTGAAATTCGCTCCTCCTTTCCTGTTGAGATGCCCTCATTTTGTTCGAAATCTCGACAGAGCCGTCTTTCGGACGTTCGCGGTATCGTAAATCTACAAGCAACAATCTGGCAACCAACGTAATCATTCGGGAATACTTTTCTTTTTATTATTGCCAACTGCTTGACTATGATGGTTTCTTCCGATAAAAAGATGCGCAAATAAAAACACGCCTTACGCTGCTGTGGCGGTGCAGAAAAGCGGAAATAAAAATTAGCGGCCTCTCCTATTGGAGTGGCGGAAGCGATTGTGTCACTTCCGTCGCAAATTATCCGCATTTGTGTCGAGTCGGCCGTAGGCACGGCGTCCGAGTGTACGTTACTATCCGTCCGTATCTATATATGTGCCTAATAAACGACAGAAAACGTGTTAGTCTTGCTGCCTTCGCTAGAAATAATCGAACAATCACTCGGCGTCTGGACTAGATCAGTGCCCGTAGGCAATGAAACAAAAACGTATATAAAGTGATTGTTGAGTCCCGACGAATATGATTTCTTCTTATTTCCAGAGGCACGTTAAAAATGTATAATAAATGGAAAAAAACGAAGTATTTTCTGAAAAAGAAAACAATATATTATAAATGCAATTAAACAAAGATGTATTAAATGGGAAACAATAAAACAAGGAGCCCTCTAATATTTCTCCAAGAAACATCTTTTTTCTTGTCTCTAGGTGTTGCACTTAACTTTAATGTGAACCCGAGAAAAATAAAAATAAACCTGCCCCAAATAAAGTGCGGGGTTCATACGTCATAAAAATCAAGGACTGCTAAAAAAAATTTGAAACATAGGAAATCATTTCGCGTGAGATATTCGAAGCGCCGGGCAAAAGAATGCACTGTCGGTATCTGAATTCAGAGGGCGATGGAGGTACCTTGAAAACAAACGCGAAAAGAGGTTCGAAACCCGTGCCTCAAACGGCGAGCTCAAGTACAAACGTCTGCAGAAACCTTGTACAACCACGGAGGCAACAGTGCGACGCGTCGTGGGATTCGTGTGGGGATTTTAATGGAAGTCCCCGAGGCCAAGAAGATTTACCTAATCGTCGGGGGTTCCTGCCTACCAAACGGCGACTTGACCGCACGGTTCCCGATCCCCGTGCCACGAAATGTGAGGAGACGAACGTCCAGGTTTCCGTCGAATGTTGGTCGCTCGTTCGTTTTGGCGATTGGCGGTTCTTGGCGGTTTCCGAAGCTTGGGTCTCGCAAACGACGTCTCGGAAGGCCGCCCACCATGGGGCGACGCCCTACTCTTGGGGATCGGCCGACTGCTTCTTCTGAAGAACCGTTGTGCAGCCGTCGGCCAGCAACGATGAAAACACGAGCAATGTGGCCCCTGCTGTCGCGATTGCGTGGAAACTTGCTCCGGCCTCTGGTCTCGGAACTTTTTTTACGCGAAGAGGAGTTCCTGAGACGGATGGTGGTTTCGCCCCGCTGGCCAATAGAGGTGTTCTTTTATCGCTCGCCCCTCTTCGTACGGAGGTATAAGGCCTCTGATTCCCTAAAGGTGCACCTCTCTCGTACACCTAGTTTCCTCTTGTTTTAGTTTTGTTCGGTCTCATCTCGAGTCGCGTTCTCTTTGTGCGACGCGAGGTGGCATTCTTGGCTCGAAATTTCACGTGATCTTTCAGTGCTTGGGTGTTTGAAGTCTATGCGCCTTGTGTTCCTTCCTTGTAACCAAATTTGTTCCAATTTATCACGAAAATGTTTAGAAAAGTGTCATTAAAATTTTCTACCCAACTAATCTCCGGCCGAATTGTCGTGCGCGCATTGAAGGATTTTGTTAAATGCTTTGAACTCGCTTAATAAACCCATAACAAAATTTCACATTTAAAAAAATATATATCTTGTTTCTCAAAGCGCTTTATTCAATTCGAAGATACAAAACGTTTGCATTAGTGTTTTGTTTTTTTAATGGTCATTGTGGTGAAAGTTCGTGTCTGCTCTGTACTATTCATCCACACGTGATACCAATTGACACACTTTTAATCGATTCGTACTATAATCAATATTTTTTTTCATAATGAAACTTATTAAATCTGTTGTAAAAATTATTTGATAACAATAACAGACTCTTAACCAGAATATTATTTCACACAGACATACATATACCGGACTATTTTCTGGTATTTTGGTAATCGAAAACCTCCTTTGGGCATTATAACAGCACAATCATTATTAAAAGCGCTGCGCCAAAACTAAGCAAAAGGTTTTTTGTTTGTTTGTTTTTCAATGGGGGTTATTCACCGTTCTCTATTAGAGCCGCTTGTCATGAGTTTGACCATAATGCATTATGAATTTTTTAGATAAAAACACTGAAGTCCATTTCTGCTGTGGAAACATTTTTCTATCGTATCAAAAGGCGACCTTGCTTTACTTTAAGGAAACAGTAAATATGCTGTTTTCTTGTAGGTATTTGTGCTAAACAAGTTTGACAACTATTGGACAATTTATGAAAGTTAATACATATTATAGGTCACCTCTCAAAAAAGAGGTAGGACTAAATTTTAATCTTGTACTAAAACACACCATTTATTTAAACAATATAAGTATATTGGCTCGCGCCGCATAACCCGGGGGATCCTGGGTTCGATCCCCACCGCTGTCCGTTTCGATCAGGATGAGCATCGTACCGGCGTGTGTTCGTGTATCACTACCGCGTGGTGCACGTTAAAGACCCCAGGCTAGCGGGTGTACTGCACTGGCTAAATTGCTCATCTACGGCTATACTCCGCGACAACTTTTCTTGGCGATGCAGGGGAAGGTACAGGCCCGCGTCCCCTCTCCCATTCTGAGTGTGCGCGGGCTCTCCTCCTCTCCCCGGAAATGGGGGAGGAGGAGAGCCTGCGCACACTAAGAATGGGAGTGGGGACGCGGGCCTGTACCTTCCACTGCAGTGCCAAGAAAAGTTGTGGCGGAGTATAGTAAGCTTGGAAAGAGAAGAAGAGTGGCGCTAGGTTGGCACGATTCTGACGGCGAGGTAACATCCTGCAAGTTAGAGCCCCCCGGAGGAAACGCAGTTAAGAAAATAATTTAACTACTTTACCCGTTAGAAGACACGCAATGAAATGGCAACATCATTTAAAAGGGTAGTGTGTTCAAAATAAACTGTGGAACTAAAAACATCTATGAAATGTGAAAAGAAAAACGTGATAGACGCGGGTATGTTGAAAAAAAAAAAAGACGATAAGGTTGGGCACCGCGTGTAAAAGAACGTTCATAATGTTTAAGCATTAAATTTATGTTTAAGTATGGTATATTCTAAAAATCTCCCGCATACTGACATGTTCAGCAGAATCAGTGTTTTTCTATGCTTAAACGAGTACATCTTTCAGGATATAAAAAATACCCGAGCTGATGCCTATAATCTAAGAGCGAAGACCAGTGTATCGTTTCAATAATTAACTGGTTCGTTTAAATCCACTCGTTCAAAATCATGGATGCTATAAGGGGCTCCAAAAAGAGCAGTAGACGAAAACGTTGGCAAGGAATTTGACCGTCGTGGTTGGATTCGCCGACTTTTCACAGCGGTAGTGGTTACGTGCTCGTCCCCATGATTCACGACGGCGTGAGAACGCATTCAGTTTTTCAGCTAAATTTGGCAGGAAAATTGATCTCATGCGACCTGACATTACGCAGGGTTGGGCAGAAATATTCTCGAAACTATTTGTAAACACAAATACTGGGAAACATGGCAAAAACACATGCAATACTGATACTGAAAATACATTTATAAAAATATATCGAGATGCGTGTCAGAAATACATTTGAAAAATTGAACAATATTTGCAAATACAAATACAGGAATACAATTGGGTGGGGCTGGAATACAGAAACAGAAATACATTGTTATAAAAACATTATTTTGGATGTTTTGGTGCACTCTTCAATCAACACAAGGAACAAAAAAGAAGCACAATTTAGATTACGTGATATTGTCTTTAAACCAGCAAGCGATCGAGTACTTACTGCCACAGGGACATATAAATGAGTTTTCTGTCCTCCCGAATAACCTCGAGAAGTCACTACGATTTTATCCAGTCCGAACGCCTCTTTCAGCGGTGACCTTATGACGTCACCGCTGAATAAAGTTCAAGAAACCCGTATACTTTTATCTGCTAGTTGGGCGCGTCGACTGTGCCTTCAACTTTTGGAATCTGCTGGAATAGTCCACCGTCCCAAGTGTGGGAAAACGTGTGTTAACTTTTGCACAATAAAGAAGGGAGTCATGTGCGCTCAGAGGCACACACAACACGTCTCATACGAAACCTGGTCTCGAAATTTGTGGGAGGTCAAAAATCATTTTAAAATTGTAACAAAATGCATCGGACCCGATATGATAACTAACAATAGTGTAACGAAAAAAAGCTCATAAACAAAGAATACTACATGTACACGGGGCGAGACAAACAGTGGGAGGATTTCTGGAGCACAAACGAGCACGTACCACGTGACACTAAGCGTCGTACCGCGTTCTACGCGGCGGCGTGTGTTTCCAGAACACCTCCGATTGGACACATTTCGTTTCTTGTGCATTAATAAGACAGGTAGGAAACGCCAGAAAGCTAAGGTGGAGTGGTGTAGTGGTTAGCACACCCGACCGGACATTGGGAGGCCCAGAGTTCAAATCCTGGCTCCGCCAATTTTTGGCTTTCGGCGGGTTCCTGAAAACTTGGATTCTTTAATTCATTGGATTAAGTACGGTTCATTCATCTGCACATATTCGTTTATACGTATATATATATATAGTTGGACAGGTTTATCACAATACAGACATGTAAATACATCATGTATTTCTGGAATACTATCGCGACACATTTGTATCGCGATGCTGCCTCACCCTGCCGTCACGGGACCTACAGATGAACTCAGGTTCCCCGATAAATTTGGCGGGCAGATTTGGTGACGATATGACAATCGTCATCGTCCTATCGTCGAATCAGCAGCACAGCTACCGCCGTCCAAATGACCCCATGATCGTGCCCCAATTTTTCGCCAAGTGTCCAGACTAGAGTTCCAGGCGTCACGGAAGGAGGCGGAGGGCAGTGCCAACATCTGTTACACTTCGTTTGAGCTCAAGTCCAGACGCAGCCGACGCTACAAGCGAATGGAACCAATCAGACACCGTCAAAAGAGCATCATCATGGTGGTCGTCATGTATCTTTCGGTATTATATAATTTCTGAACCAATCATAAAGGCTGTGTTCCATGTCTTACCCAAATGGATCCGAGTTACTCCGGCGGATCGTGTCACGTTACAGCACAAATTGAAAAACGCTGGACGCGGGTAGGTTTTAGAACGCCAAGGGTACAAAACCCTTACCCTGGAGTAAGATGGAGTAAATTTTGAAACACGGCCAAAGAAAAAGGCCCAGTGACTTGCACTTTAAAAACTGCTAGATTGATCCCATTAGCTCATAGCGTCGCCTGTGTCTGCACTAACGCTGAAACGTAGTTCAAAAACACTGTAGCCTCGCCTATGTGCGATTTAGTGTGCTTCTTCCTTTTGGGTTGTTTCCAAGAAAACTGGTGTGGAGTATGTTACAGGCATCCGACTTCTGCATACAATTTGTGGACCATTTCATAAACGATATTTTCGAATGTTCTACTTGCTGTTCCTTGAAACGTGGGTAAAATCGTTCCCCCGAAAATTACGCGTCATACCAAAAAAAAAAAAAAATGTGGTATGGTGTCTTTCAAAGGACCTATTTGAGAGAATTAGTAACGTTCGGTGTAAGTTTATTATTAACTAGTTTAGCATAAATAGCTTCTTAATTATGAGACTTAAGGGTATGGTTTAAATTTCAAACTTTCAAGGCATGGTCAAAAATTATTAAATCATCTTAGAAAGATATAACGTGTGTAAAGCAATTTAAAATGTTCAAGGAAATACATAATCACGAAGCGTTTCTATACTGCATTGGCTCTTGAAGGGACACTAAAGCACTTTTCAAGAAATCTAAGTTAGGAGTGGATTTTTATAGCATTTTGTCCCGTGGATTCAGTTATCGCGCTCATCTTAGCCAGAGGTAAATGCGACCCGCATTTATTTTTTTGCAAGCTACGCGCAGGGACTGCCGTCGGGCATGCGACGATCCGATCTGCCCCCTGCTATCTTTCCAGGGTGTCGTGACGTCATTGA